CGTGTTACTTCATTGCGCAAATGTCGTGACGCTACCATAGCTTTATCTGGAATTCTTATGTCAAACATACTTTCAGTTCAAATATCTCAGAAATTATAACAGCAATACAAGATCTAGCGACATTTTCTGATATAATGTCGATTCAAACTTTCGATTACGACCATTGCGAATAAAATTGATGCAGTCAATACTGAGATCTTGAGATCGAGTTCGTGAAAAGTGTCACTTTATCAATCAAAAGTGACATTTTTCAGTCACACGTATACACATATACACGCAAAGCGGTTTGTCCTTTTCAGGCGAGTTTTCACAAAATCATCTTGTTAAAATTATCGATTTCGATATATATGTATGTCGAAATCGATTACTAATTGTCATAACGAGTTAATATCACGTCGTGTCAAAGTGTCAGTAATTGCTGCTCATCAAAATGACGCAAGAACAAGACGTAAGTATTTGTAATATTTACATATATTTTTTAAATTTAAATTCTATTTAATATTTTATTATACATATGTACATTTTTTCAATTTCAGATGCTGGATATAGACTTAGAGAATATGGATTTATATTTGGATGGAAATATAGACTTGTTCAAGTCTCTTCCCCACTACCCCGCAAATCCAAGACTACAAAATTTTACGGAGGTCACAGCCTCCGGCACTTCCACCGCTGCTCCTCCGCATCATGCCACCGCCGCCGCCGCCGCTCCTTCGCGTACGGCTACTGCCGCTGCTCCTCAGTCCTCCGCATGCCGCCGCCGCCGCCGCCGACGCTCTTTCGCGTACCGCTACCGCCGCTGCTCCTCCGCATCGCGTGCTCCGCCGCCGCCGCCGCACGCACCGCCTCCACCAATACCATCGCCGCCGCCGCTGCTTTTCCGCGCAATTCAACCGCTGCTGCTCCGCATGCCGCCAACATCGATGCTTCTCAACGTAAGTTACATAATATATAATACTTTTATGTATAAAGTTTTTGTAGCTTTTTTGAAATTCTTATTGCATATACGAGTTTTAAGTACTTAATATTATAATATAATATTTGTTTCGTAGGATGGAGACCGAGAGGCAGGAGAAGCGGACAACGCCAAAGGGCAAGAAGATTTTTCAATTTTTTGTTCAATATGTGCGACAACTTTAACAACCACTATTTCGGAGAAAGAGGAAGAGGAAGAGGAAGAAATTAATTTATTTTTATTTCTTAAAAAAATAGTTTTACTATGTTCCGTTATTTATTTTAAAATGTTAAACTGTTAAAATATTATTTAAAATGTTAAAAAATGTTGTTAAATGTTTACAAATAAAGTAATAAATTAATAATATATACACTGTTAAATCTATATAATAAACTTCAATATATCGTAATACGACAGAGAAATATAATTATATTATATTATATACACTGTTAAATCTATAGTGTTAACCTAAATCTATAGTGTTCAATCTCATTAATTCACCATTGCTCTTACTTAATAAATAGTTACTTTTAACCCTTTGGGTTAAATTTAAACTATTTTAAAA